GCCCCCTGCCTCCCCCGTATTACTTCCGCGCGTATCACCCGACCCCCGACCTATTTCCCTCGGCTGTACGAGGCGCCGCCGCCGCCGCCGCCGCGCATTATATTTGGTAAATGATAATACCACGTGATTTAGGTCGGTTTTAACTGCCCGGTAATTTACGTAAAAGTTCCTGCCCCAGCCGCGAGATCGTATCTTCAGCAGGAAACACGTTATCTGCCGTATGAGAGTTTCTATTATATGGGGTTACAGAGGTCGGGACGGATGGTCACGGGAGATACGATTGGCTGGTATCGGCGTTAAGGGTTTGTTTTGCTCTATTCTTTTGGCCACCCGGTATAACGTGACTCTACGTCCTCGATAATCCATCCTGTGAAATTCTTGTTTACTACCTCCTTACGGTCCCACTGACTGAATTGATCATGCCAAAGGGGGGTTTAACGTGGAACCGGAAGCCACTCGGGGGTTTGTCGCCACGCGAATTGACTCGATCGAACGCAAAGCCATTTCGAGTTCTGGTTTGATCTAACCAAGCGGCAGTTCTCGCGAGTTCGCGCCGGTGACAGGAGATGCTGTCTTATCACTGGCACCCGTGTATTCGCTTTACGAACACTCGTCGCCTGCCTCGTGACGTTACGTACTCGGGTGAAAAATTTTCATAGAAATTGTAAAGAAAAAAAATGATTACCTACCTTCTAGAGAAAAATGGTAATAGAAAAATTCGAAATATCTTATAGAGTTTTTACGGTATAAAATTTGTATAGTCAACCCTTACAACCCTTTGACGAACGGTCTGTGCTGTGACGCCGTATAGCCACACGTGGATGCCTGGAATAATTTTTTAGTTTGTATACGAATATTTTTTGGGGATATAAGCCGTGACGTGTTGCGCGCGACTGACCTTAGTTCCCCCCCCCTTAAACCTTTGAATTAGCTGCTTCTAGCTGATTGCCTTACCGGGGATAAAGTCGAACGTAAAATTCCCCTAGGAGTCCTTTCGATTCGCCGGCGTAGCTCTTACCCATCGTTTTATCCGTTTCGTCCAAGAGCTTTGTTTACGGGTCGCTTAAGCACACGCGACCCTCGACGTTAGCTCGACTGTGCGTGAACGTCGCCGATTTCGCCGAGCCGCAGGGGCGGCGATCGGGAGGGAACTTGGTCGCAGCGACACAAGACACGTGACTGTCTATTTATACCCCTGTCCCGTCTCCGTCCTCAAGTCTCGCCCGTTCCGACAAGAGATATAAATGCGAAAAACAAGCCGCGACCTATCCCGTGAAACATCCTGGTGTTCCAGGGGATGGACGTTACTTCCCGCACCAGGCCCATCCGGTCAGCGCATTCGAGTCACGTTCGGGAAATGTATATTATGATCCTGAGGGACGTGCGCGAGGGGGCAGGAACTGGGGAACTCGATCGGAGGACGTCAAGTCACCTTTCAAATTGGATATACACCGGTTGACCGGGGGAATCCGTATGTGTTTCACATATGTATGCAAGGGTACGTCAGTACCGTGTCGGGGGTCTACGTATGTGGGATTGGGGTCGAAAGAGGGAGGTTACGCGTGACGAGCACGAGAATCGAGTTGGGATCGCGTGTGTCTCTGTGGCCTTTCTTGTTTTATTTGATCTTTTTTTTTTCAAAAAAATTTCTCCCCTTTTCATCTCAAACTACCCCTCTCTTAGAGGACCCTGCTCGCGTAATTTCAATCACTTTCCCTCGACGGAAAGATTTTCTTCACCCTCTTCCGGGTTCCCGGGTGATGACCCGCCCGATCAACTTCCGGATCTCGTTTGACCGGAAGTCGCATTTCCCAGTCACACTGGGCCGCGCCCCCTTGAAAAAGCGCTTTTCAGGGATGCACCCTTCCCAACGACCAGGTACACCCTTAAACAGTTTTCCACCTTCCACCTATCCCCCCCCCC